AATATGTATAAACGCTAAAAAAGTTGGTCCTTCTGTAGAGCTCGGGCAAGGTGCAGAATGGCTGAAATCAAGCCTAAGGGTCAACGCTAACAATCCAGATTCGGGTTTTCGAACCACGTTTCCTGTGGCTAGCTATAATTAGATAACTAGTGGCCAACTCATTGGAAAAGAAAAAGGATAATTATACTTCGGTCCTCTTAATTATATCTCTTCATTTCAATTAGTCCTACCAACTATTTTTTTTTCTCTCCCTTTTGTTTCGTTGGAAAGGAAAGTTGAGTCATCTAGACGCTCTAACAAAAGTAATCGAAGCTTGGTCCCTTCTAAATTTTACTTTTTTAATGGAAACTTTTATAATTTGTGGGTCATTTTATAACAATTTTTTTTATCTATTTTGTGGCTGATTTACTATATTATAAATGTTTTTACTACTGTCGTGGTAAATAAATATTTTATCGTAGACAATTCCTTTGTCGTGGGTGGTATTCAAGTACAACAAGTTCTTCTAGCTGTTGTTCGACCAGGCTAGCCAAACAATCTGCGCATTGATTTCCTTCTCAAGTATCCTATCAACCACTCTAGTTCTTGTTTAACATTTATATCGGTCTCATATTATCCTCAATTATTATATTTTTTATATTGTACTTGTAATCTCGGTTTTTAGTTTTACATACATGTATTTTATCACAGAAATGAATATTTTCTATTCAAGATTTAATAAACATTTGATTCTAGAGCAATGAAACCAATTCAAATAATTAACGAATAATGTGAGAAACTTTAGTTAAAGAGCAATGCCATACAGACCTAATTAATTACAACTATTAATGTATAAGATTATATTTAAATAAAATTTTTCTTAGTTGAAATGATGAACTGAGATGAGCATTAATGAAAAACATATTTCGATGGACTCTCTCAATATGAAACTTTTGTCAACTTGATCAAGTTCGAATCATTTAAATGCATCATACATCCCCTCATTTTACAAACTCAGAAATGAACACCTGCCCTTAGTTAGCACGCAACCATCAATTGATTCCGCCATTGAATGGGACCATTCTTCCAGTCTCTCTCTCTCTCTCTCTCTCTCTCTATATGTAGGAGGAGCATGCTTGCGTAGCTTCCTTTTATTTTTCTGCATTGATAAGGACGAGAAAGCATTGATTAAAGAGAGACATGGGCAAGGACGAGAAAGCATTGATTAAAGAGAGACTTGGGCTGACTTGAGTGAGGACCACCACCCCCACCACCTTCATTTACTCATTTTGTCTCTGCATTTGAGTAATACGCAATACAAGGAGTAATTAAAAAAAAAAAACAAAGTTTCCACAACTACCAACCAACCCACCGATGCTTATCTACAACAAAAGACTAGCTTGGGTTTCTGTTAACTTTTTGATAATTCTATTTCACCGATTATTGAAAGAAGAGGAAACATATATATGTAGATCATTGTACATTTTTCACGTACAAGCGCGAATACACATAATAATTGATTTACATTCGCAAAAGTAAAACATAATTAAATTGTTGTAGTCTTTCTAAAATAAAATATAGTTATCAATCATTTACTCTTTTTCTACGTGCATCGGATATGTTTTGTTTTAAAATTTAGTGACTTTAAGAAAGGCCAATGGGTCAGGAATGCTGACCATTGAAAGTGGCAAGGACAATGTGAAACTTACTTGCATCGTCAAAAAAAAAATATTGCCGGCCTATGCGCACGATTATCATTGTCGTCAGAATTGCATGATACGAGCAATAATGTATCATATGATACGATATACAAAATGGTGTACATCTATCTCGTATACTTATTTATATTGCTTGCACTTATCATAATCGCCAATGTATTGTGATATTGCGCACGATTATCATTGTCGTCAGAATTGCATGATACGAGCAATAATGTATCATATGATACGATATACAAAATGGTGTACATCTATCTCGTATACTTATTTATATTGCTTGCACTTATCATAATCGCCAATGTATTGTGATATTGCATTTTAGAGCCTCTCTCATATTGTTTATGTTTCCATGTGTGACTAAGCTTAAAAGTTCACATTCACCTCCTCAAAAGTTAGGGTTTTTTTTTTTTATCTTTGTGTATAGATCTTTCAATCTCTTTCTTTTTCTTTTTTTTCTTTTTTTCATATTTTTCACAAAGTACACACCCACATCAAATATTATTAACCCTTGTCACTTGTCAAGTTCTCTACATATGTTTTTCTATACTCGAAAGCTTATTTCTAGAACTTAAGAAAACCCGTTTTCGTTCGGAAAAAAAATTACGAAAGCTTTTTATGGTTCAAGTATTTCAGGCTTCTTTTTGTATTTTCATACAAAAAATATATAATTTTATGTATTTTCTACCTAAATAAAATTTAATTAGTACCTTTGACTAGCTTTGTTACCTTTAGAAAATGAAGTTCCCCTTCAAAATTTGTTGTTATGACTCACGACGCATCGAAAGAATGCTTATAATTCTGAAAATGATATTTCCAAAACGCATTGTAATGTTAGACCCTCTGCGTATTGGGATGTGAGATGGGGACCGGTGGGCTGGTTTGCCACCCATTGGGTGCGTACATGTTTCAAGTTGGTCTGGGCTCAGACTGGGCTTGGGCCAGGCATGTCTAAACCAGATTCAGAGGTTGGGCCAATCTCTTTGTCACGACTTAGGAGGGCCCGTGGCTTACAAAATGTTATTGTTATACAGCAAATCAATAACGACACGGAATAAAAAATTCGGTAATATATTTTTAAAAATTATTATTTTTGTGGGTATTTTTATAATAGAAATATTTATCACTTATGCGAGTGATTTACTACTTTTTTGGATATTTTTATCAATTTATGGGTATTTTTATCACTATTGTGTTATATTTTTATTATTTTATAAGGATAAAATACAGTAACTCAAACATACAACTTAATCTTTATGTTTCCTATCAAATATCTAATATACATATTTATGATATATTAAAACTCTTCCAATTTGTTTTCTATTTGATTTGGTCACTAATAAACATATTAATGATTTATTAGGACTCTTCTAATTCGTTTCATAATTTATTTAGTATTTTCACACTGATTACCCAACAAAGTTTATTTCAAATTTGGTCATACTCAACATCGGGCATAACACCCTTGATTCTGATCCACAAATCTTTTTCAAACACCACATATAAACTTGTTCTTCTGAGTCATTACAATCCTCTTTGTTTTTCAAAAATGTGTTTTGGCCTACAATATCTATGCATATATGGCCATGTCTTACATTGGGGAGGTTTCAATGATCAATACTTTACCATTTAATGGTAAAACCCAGTAACTCAACCTGCAAAACACAATATCAGAGTTTATGTTAGCTCAATAGCTCCCAAACTATTTTAATACCATGAGATCCACTTTAAAAGCCCAATACCTTGGAGAGACATTTTTAACACAACATGTGTGGTATTTTTTGAAATCCAAACAATCTAGAAGCAATTTAGTCTCTCGTTTGGTTTCATACCAGCTTTAATTTTTTTTCTTGTGAATCTAAACAAAAATATGCATCATTTAATTTTTCAAGATTACATCCTTAATGTACGCGAGACGAAATCAATCTTCACATTATGTCGTACATGCATGGTAAAAGAGTCTTTTTCAACATGACCATCAACTTGATCACTAAATCGCCAATAACTTGCTTTAATTGATGCATCGGGATCATAAATCTAACTTTTTTAGATTTCCTTTTATGTTCAACAATTGACTCTCTTCTAACGATAACTAGAAAAATTATGTCAAGATTATCAATCTAACTTTGATACTACTTTTTAAGTTTGCGCAACGAATAATTAACACTAATCGCATAAGTTTGAAAATAGGAATTTAAGATACGACAAACATTGAAAACACAACATAAAGATATAACATAGTTCAATTCAGTATACTTATCTTTGTATACTGTACCTACATCCACGGATCAAAAACTCACCTTAATATATTATTAACTGAAAAATTTGTCATTTGATAACCAAAAACTTATATTGATATATTATTAACTGAAAAACTAGTCATTTGGTAATTGATTACATAATATTCAATCCTATTTATACGGATAAAATACTGTAACTCAAATCTATCAAGATACAACTTGATTTTTATATTTCCTATTATATGTCTAATATACTTCATGTTCTAAGACCTTTTTTTAATGGACAAAATTAAAAAAGAGTAATATATTTCACAAGTTTATCTAAAACTTTAAAAAAAACATGAAAGTATAATTTTTGCAGATATATGTAAAATCTTTTATAAAGTTCTAAAATATAACAAAATCTTCTAAAAAAAATCTAATAGTAACGATTTCTAACTTTAAAAGTGATAATTTTTCTCAAATTCTTTCCCTTTTTTTCTTTCATTCTCATTGCCCCTCCCAACTTTTATCTCTCTCTCACTCTCATTGTCTTTCTCTAATTCTTTGTTCTTATCTCTAACTCTCATTGAAGATAATAATTTTTTTAACGATTATTGGAATTGCGAAATGATTACTAGAATTGTGCAACTCTAATAATCGTTAAAAAAATTATTATCTTCTTAAAATATCAAATGAAAGCTCATTGAAGATAATTAAATTTTTTAACGATTATTGGAGTTGCAATATAATTACTAGAGTTGTACAAATCTTATAATCGTTAAAAAAATTATTATCTTTTTAAAATATTAAATAAAAATAAAATTTCATGTAAAATTCTCGCTTTAATTCTCACTTTAAGCCCTAATTTGTATTTGGCAGCCCTTGTATTCGGTATAAAAAATTACTATTTTTGTGTATATTATTATCATTTTTGTAAATATTTTTATAATTTTTATAGTAATTATTTTTACCACTTTTTTCTAGTACCACTACATTGGTAAAAATACCCATAACAGTAATAAAAACATACTCACAATAATGATAAATATGATTACAATACCAAACTTTTTTTATTTAAGTACCGTAGACAACTCCTCCATACATAATGCACAACAAAAATACAATATAATTATATAGTGTGGGCCTAAGCCAGCCCATAGACTGAATGTTTTAACTCAGAACTAACCAACCCAAATGAAAAAGAAATTTTTTGTTTTAAGTTTGGAAAATTCCATCATAACAGTACACCAGCATATATTGTAAATGGTTGAATACAAAATTCTTTGGTAGCTACAGTTCTCATCCAGAACCTAGTATCTGTCTACCAACATACACGCCAACCGAATATTCTGTAACCACCAACACTTGACAACATTAAAAGAATACAGGTGCTTAATGCTAATAAACATATGGCAATATCCTCCACGGAACAAGTTTACAGTATTCTGCCCACACTTCTCTGTACTTCTCTGCACACCGGATTTCATCTCTTCTTTCTCTCCATATCAATAATATAAGAAGATATATCGGGTAGAAGTATGGAACAGGGGAACTACAAAGTTGAAAATTATTTCAAATTCAAAAACCCATGTCAAAAACTGTATCAGGATTAAAAATAGAGCACATGATATTACCTTATCCCACAAGGTAAACTAAAGGACAACGCTATTAACAAATCCCCAAGGTAATTAGAGTGTCTTGCAATGCCCCTTCAAAAGAAAAATAAATAAGTAAACTTAAAGAGTATCTGGAACTCATGAAGCATCGTAAGGACTGAAGATATGTGCAAAATGAGACTCTGTGCAAGCCATGTTTTATATAAGTGGTCATGGGAAAAGTCATACTGGCATTCCCGAGAAGAAATTGCTGGTATCACAATTTATCAGAAATTATAAGTTGTGGATGTATGTCAGTGAGCACAAACATCACAATTTTGTGTGGACACCATTTCACCAGACCAACTCCACCCCGTCAAGACAATAGAGAGTCGAGATAAACCAAGATTACTCTTAACTGACAATAACAGTTGGGAAAAAACCAATACCATGATCCCCTCCCCCCTTTCTTGTAACAGATCGGAAGACAACTGAAAAATCGACAGATAAACATAAATGGGATTATTCTAATGTGCACTAAAGTGATACTTGGTGAAAACTCAGGCCACTATAAGAAGTCATGCAAAAGAAAATTGAGCTACATGCAGTTCTCTATATTTTTTTTTTCCTTGGTGTCATATATATCAGCCTCCAGAATCTATTAAGGCCAAAATAAACCGGGTGTATTCTATAATATAAACAAGAAGGAGAAAAAGAAAAAAAAAAAATAAAGGATGTCAAAAATTGAACCTCTCAACCGGACCATTTATTTTATCCATCCCAACACTTTTACCATTGTGTTACTGCGTTGGCTAAGCATCACCATCATTAACGAGCTTTCAAAAAGCTATTTTATCACTTTTCATGGACATAAATATGAAGATGGTAAAAATTTCAAGTCAGATGAAAACCTTACCAATAACCAGAAGCAAGCAATTTCCCCCCAATAACTTTGGGAGGCCTACCCCATATTGGTGCTTTGGGGTTCTTTTTGAACACATGCTTCTGCTTGTTAGCTCCTCTAAATACCTTATACCTTCCCAGTTCCAAATAAAATGTCATTTTAGCAGGTGATAAAAATATAAGAAAAAGTTTGAGAGTTGTGGGAGCAATGAGATTTGATTACTGCAAGCTACTTACCCTATCAAAAATACAATGCAATTTGCAATAACAGCGGCTGTTGTTAGCTCTACCTGGTTACTCAAAAGCCACCAACCCTATGACAGAGACGATAATCAGTCATCTAACGACCAAGTAAATAGATACGAGTTCTCTAAGGAAAAAATCCCTCCTCATATGTCAAGGAACAGACATGCCTGAATACTAAAGGCGAAAGGAATCCACACTAGATCTCCAAATACCAGCATGAATCCCAATTTTTCAGCAATTATGTCCCATCTACAAAAGATGGCCAACATTCAAATGGTTAGAACTGTAAATGAATAAATTGCTTATCATGAGAGAGAGAGGAGCAGTATGGACATGAGGAGGAAGGCAGAGAGCGAAGAATTGTAAATGAGATTACAAAATTAACATAAAAGCAACACTATACTGTGAGAGGAGCAAGATTGAAGGAAAAGATACTGACAAGGTTCAAGCAATAGGAGAACTACTTGGAATAGATAGGGGATAAGATATAGACATGAAGATATTAACACAATAGGTTAGCTATAGGGTCAGAACAACTGAAAACCAGAGCCAAATCAGAATGTCTTTTAGTATCAGAAACTGTTGCATGATAACTAGGTTGCAGAATAACTAGTTATCTCCATTGTAGATGGGACTGCATGAGAAAGGAAGAACTTTTGAGCATGCTACTCTTCTAGTGCTCAGGTTTATCATCCCTGCCTTTTAGTTTCCTTATTTTTTTAGCTTTATATGCTGTAATTAAGAAGCATCAGGCCCATGTTTTATTGGGCCTAACATATCCCAAAAAGCAAGGCCAACACACAAAAATGTCTGCAATATTTTGATAAAGAATGCCACAATTGCATTAGTTCAATAAACTGGGAAGGAGTCAATTTTAAATCCAGAAAGAAAGGTAATATACTTACGTGGATGTCATGTATGCCTCATAATAGAAGTAGTCCAGTATATATAACTGAAAAAAGATGTAAAGCAACAGATAAATAAACAATCACAGATAAGTTCACGAAACGTAGGGGTGGTAGTTGGGCTGTGCAGTGTCAGACGCATCCAAAATCGAACTTAACTATGTTGAAATTGGGGCAACCCAAACACGACATGAGTAACTAATTGTATCAAAATCTCTAACTACAACTCAATCCATTTATTATGCATGACATGACATGACATGACCCATATAACCTATTTAGTAAATAGGTTCTGCCGGGTTGGGTGGTTCTATTGGATGGATCATTCGAGTAAGAAAAAAGCAACATAATTAACAAAAAAAAGGGTTGGATAGGTTCTATGAGACATTCGTGTCACATATCATATTTGTGTCCAGGTAATAAAAGTTTCAAGCAGGTTGACGTCACAAAAGCAGACCCGACACATTCAATAAATGTGTCAATTCAAATACAACACAATTAACAACTAATGTCAAGATCTCCTACAGTCCCATCTAAACTTCTTGTCAGGTTTGAATTATACTAACGTGTTGTGTCAAAAACTGCCACCCATACAAAAGTATATGGTCTATACACAATTACCATGCAGAAAAGCTGGTATAGGATCATTGATTGGCTTAAGTTGGCCTCTTGGATACATCTTGCAAGCACTGAAAGATTGATAAGTAGCCATCCCATCATTCCAGCTCTAACGAAGAAGAATCTACATAAGAGTATCTCATTATTACCACATGTTCTCCACATATTTTGGTGAGATCAGTTATTGCATTCACGTGTTTGGAATTTCCTTTTTATCTGTATACATAGGGAGAAAATAAAATTGTACCATGCTAATTATTTTTTAAAATAGGGATGGTTGAAAAAATAATTATGGTGTACTAATTTTTCATTGAAATCCTCATGTTTTGCATGGAAAGTAATACGATGCTGACTACAATAGTGTCTACAGTGTGAAACTGGGAATAAAATCATTGATGGATTTGTAAAAGAGATTGATTGTCAATTTACTCAATAACAAGACAGCATGTAAATTAGATTCCAAAAACTAGCCACAAAAATGAGAAATTCCCAGAATGTCGTATAGATTACATACTTGAGGTCAATGCCCATGAATTGAGGATTCAGCTGTATCCCAAACCACCTATTGAGTTAATAATAAAGTAGTCACATAAGCCATATTGTAAAGCAATTTTCAAGGCAAAAAGGCATAGACTAGTGAGATCTGGGATAAATGCTCAGCAAATAGATCACATTACATATTAGTTTGCTCACATTTCATCATTGTCACAGGAAATGGTAGAAGATGCTACCCATGGACAATTTTAAGAAAAAAGTTATGGACTTTCTTGCTAATTAAGAAGATAAAATAGACATGCCTTCATTTATTTACCAAGACAAATAATGAATACAGCACAGCGAGTTGCAGAAATTAGTAGTGGAAAATAACAGCATGCAGCAAAAGCTAAACATATCCTAACAAAAAAGGGCGAAGATATCCTTTTTGGGCATAGTGGCTTAGATCCATTTCGTCCGAGTAAAAAGTAATATCCTGCAGAAATCATGAAAAGTACCAGTCATGGATTAGATTTCCTGTGAAATGAGGCTTCAAAGATGAACTCGGATCATGTGATTTTTTACCAGCAACATAAAGAACCAATGTCACCTGGCATGAGAAACAAAAGTGAAATCACGGCACAAAAACCAAATATAGAAAGTGTTAAACAATTATCTACTCCAAAAACTTAAGCTGCTAGAGAGGGTGTAACTTTAGTATTTATATTTCAACACACTCCCTCATGTGCAAGCTAATCTTTTTGAGCCTAGCACATTAAATTCTTTTAATCATTAGGATGGCGGCGAGATTCAAACACAGAACCTCTTACTTTGATAACTTGTTAAACAATCATTTTACTCCAAAAGTTTAAACTATTAGAGATGGTGCAACTTAAATATTTATACTTCAACAAAAAAGAAACAAAACTGAATGTCTAAACAAATAATGAATCATCAATTTAAGATTTCCTTGTTTCAATGGAAATTATCTGAACCATAGGTACAATCGGTTATGTTTCTTGGATTCAACGAGAAGCGTCATACAATTTTTGAAAATAAATTATGAATTTTTTTTTATAAGTGAAATCAGAACATACAGATGTGAAAATGCTTTATATTGAAAATTGAGGGGTAAACATGAGTGAAGAACTACAAGATACTACAGTTATTAACTGACTCTTCTATTGATCATGAACTGAGGGCAAAGGATGGTGTTGCTTAAGCTTGATAGTAAACAGATTCTGAAACTATCACGATATGTGAATTTCCATGCTATCATGAGAATACAGACCGAGACGTGAACATCTAATCTATATTGGAGACTTTGCCATCACAAACCTCAAGTTTTTAGCATGTTGCAAAATATATCACAAGCCAAACATGGATTATTTAACAGTTCTACTGCTCAGCTAGAAGAGAGAGAACAAAGATTAGAGGATAGGTAATCTATCACCTATCAAATGAAAAAAGTGTATAATTGAAGTGGACCCAGCATACTTGACACGATGTTCAGCAGATAATCCCATGGCTTCTGTTTATACAAACTAAATCGATTTGGAATCTGTTACGGGAAAATCTCAAATCACACTTCTATCCTCCCAAGTTCTGATCAAATGTTATAGGGTTTTGGTGCTTATTATCCTTGTATATCCTACTTCAATAAACTTGACACAAAGAAACAATAGCCTACTATGCTTAAGAGAAGAGAAGGGAGGGGAGGGGGAAAAAAAAGTGTTTTCCTATCAAAGGGTTGTCGTCATGCTCAGTATAATTAGCGCGTAACAACCATTAGACTGGTATTTCCCATCCTAAAATTAATGCATTACCTGAAATGGGCATGCATACTAGTTATTACAATCGTTTTGTATAAGCAGAACTTTAAGGAAGTGATATTGAAGATAAATTTTCCATGTAGTAAAGCATAGAACATTACAATGAAGAAATACGATCAGAGTCAGAAAAGCACCTCCAAGCAAAAGCGGGAATAATATGTAGTTCAAGAAAATAAACACATCCCTAGCACCCAATAATTTGATGCCAAGATTGTGTGGTAAACCTACTCAATAAAATAATGATTCACATTTAGTGATTTAAATTATAGGACAAACTTCCAGAATATAGCCAAAGGAACACACACTTGCATGTACACATACAAAGAACATATTGATCAAAGCTCACCAATTAAAATGATGAAACGAATAATTTTGACATTCAATGGGTTAAGTTTACTAAGAATCCTATCAAAAGAATGACCTTGAATCTGAACACCAAAACTACGACCGCATGCTTGATGATATTCAGTTTATGAATTCAACATTTAGCTTTGGTTAATAAAGTTGAGAAGAAATTCAAGGCTTTCAAAAGTATTCTTCAAGTTAGAGATCAGTTTTTTGGATATACTATTCACTGTCATTGTTCATAAGGGGCCAATCATTATTAAAAACTACTCAAATTTCGCAGACAACTACGAACCAAGGTTATTGACTTATACTGTTGAGTTATCAAAATTGTTTTCCAAATGAGGGTAGCATGTAGACTCGTTGCAATTCTTGAATCAGAGATCCAGGAGAGTCTTCAAACAATATGGAGCAAAACCAGCAAAATTAATTTTTCCTCAAATGCACTTTCAAAAAAAATATCACAAATTTGGTTACAAAGTCATGGTGACACAATTCTTGCGCCATCATGAAGCTCTCAAACATAACCACAATTGCAAGATGTGTGTTGAAGTCATGGTCAAACAACAAATTTTCATAGCCAGAAGTATCAGGAAAAGTCCACAAATATGGATCACAACATGTAACTAACAGTA